GTGATGAACGGCCATAAGCAGCATCTTAGCCGATTGAGCAACACTGTATGCTGCATGACAGGCTTCTTCAGCGTCCAATATCGGGGCGTTACATTTTGCGCTCAGAATCTGTTAAAGTGAAATTACGACCAGAATCTTCTCATAAGTCCGCTACAAAGGAACACACAAATTGATATCGCCGAGATCCGGTGGGGCGGTGCCAAAAGGCGTGTAATGGACACACACGCGGCTGGGTTTTCTACCCACAGCGGCCGCCTTCAGGTGGGAAACAGCCAGTAATTATGGAATAAGTCAGCGCTGTTCCGTACTCGGGTCTCATTTTGGTGTAGATGTGGTTTAAACAATATGAATTTTTAATCTTCAAAATGTGGAAACTCAAGAGCTACAAACTTCTTTAAATGATTACAAAAGCGTCACGCACGGTGAGGCAGGCCTTCGGAGGGATGGACCTTTCCTCAAGCTTGAATAGTTGGAAAAATCCACCATGGAGTTCTTCACCACCTAGGGGGAGGTAAAGAAAAGGCACGCGGCGTCGTTCAGCACGTGCAGGATTGCGTGGATATACTGTCGGGTCGGCTCCTGCTCAGGGCAAGCATTCCATCCCTAACTGGTACCTAGTTGTCCGAGCCGGGAGGTTGAAGGCAAGTGACACGATAAATACCCAAGACATGTAGGACCAATACGCCTAGCAGAATAGGAATCGGCGGCCCTTAGCGGGCGCTGCGGGGTGCCTTTTCCATGGAAGATGCCCTTATAGCGCATTACCAAGCTGCAACAACCGACCCGGACGTCCACCGCGCCCGCCCGCCCACAAATGTCCGACCGATGCTCGTACTCGTATCGCTACAATTCCGAAGTTTAACATGAAGTGAAGGGATTGGTATGAAGTGGCTGCGGCGCTGCATGGGTACACGAGTAACAAGCAGCCATACTGCCACGACGCAACGGGAAAGCTCGTCCAAAATTGCTTTCTGAGGCCTGTGGAACAAGGTTTTTGTACAGGTTTTTGACCATTTCACTTCGCTTTTCCGCCATTTTCCCCACTATATAGCACCCCTCTTAGGTGGCAGAAGAGTTATTCTCATGAAAATCCCGGAAAATGCAGGGAAAGCTTGTAATCAGTTTTCTATAATTCAATAGTAATAATGAGGCTTACCATAGTTGCATCCATGAGACCAGTTACAGCTTGTTCGGTTTTTCCGATTCGTTGCTCGCGTGGAATCAAACATATTATATGGTTGATGAGTGAGGCTATCTGAAACAACGGTGATTTATCACTGAAAAATTCCACAATGAAACTTGTCAATCAGCTCGGGGTAGAATGAATGCTCCAGCTAGTAGAGAAATCGTTCGACACTCTAACATCCCATGGCGCTAAAGCAAGCAGGACTTTTCACCATTTCGGCTCATATTTGATCTCACATTGGCCCAGGAGGGTGAAAGGCTAATTCAGGTATTTTTTGCCTCAACGACCCTTCGTGAGGGCCAATTATGCATTCCAACGCTTAGAATGATACCGAAGTGGTTCACATCTTAGTGAGAACGCCGACAATTTCATCACTAGCCTTTCATCAGTTATACCCCAAATCCTTGAGATTTCGCAGGCGTAGACCGCCGTACCTCATATTTGGACAGGCGTGTTGCGCTTTTGGTGAAATATTGTCATTTTGGGACAACTAATTATGATTTTCTCCAGCACATGACAAGATGGTGGTTTTATCAAAGTGACACATACCACGAAAAAGCCACGATACGCCATGTTCGAATTAGGTACACAGCCACGCTCACCTCACCGCGTCTCAGGGATGCGGGAGTACGCTCCGCTAGCATACAAAGGAGGGGGGGGCAATAAAAAAAGTCAACTTTTTTCCATTGACTCTTCGCAGGCGTATAAAGTTACACCTTTATTAAAATTTCCTGAATCCGGCACATTTTCACCACATTTGAGCATATTAAATACTATCATGACACTCCGCATAGCCTTCTGGACGAGCGCCATCGAGAGATTCTGGCACGCGACCGCGATGTGGTGCCTGAGATCAGCGAGATAGTCGATTTCTCCGCCACCGTAGACCACCCTATTGAACTCCGCCCGAACCGGGTAATTGAGGGAGTTCAGGTCAGGTGACCTACTTTAGATATTCCATCTCCTTTAGGTACTCAACGCCCTTCCATTCCAAGTAGGCGAGAGTTTTTCCAACGCCCTCCGATTCCATGTGGTGGCACCCAATGCTGTAGCAGTACAAAGTTTCCAAGAAGGTACGGGCGACGACATGTGAGGAGGATATTCTTCTCGAGTTGCTCGATGTAACCGCCAGCGCTCACCTTTCAGTCGAAGTCCACGAAGAAAATATAGGTCTTTCCATTCCAGGTACGTTCCGGTCCATACCATCAACCCGCGCCTTGGCGACTGCAGTGAAGATGATGTCCTAGACCGTAGCGACGTTGTCGGAGCTGCTCGATGTTGGAGGTCTCAGTACTGGTCTCCAGTTGCGCTATCCAATAGGTGAATCCACACCAGAAGTTTCATGAACTGATTTGGCAGGTGACATGAATTCAAAGGGTCTCCTTCATCAGGCTGCCGACTAGAGATACTTCATATTTTGGTGTACATGAAGGTGATGGGCGAGAGCCAGCTCCTGCTTATCGAGGAACATCTTGGGTATCTTCCGCCCTGGTACTCGTATCCACGTCCTCTGTCTGGGCAGCGAAAACTTTGCTGATATGTGACTCGATCGAAGTGACTTTTTATTGGCCCCCTGTATACCAATTAAGTCAGCCTTTTGAAAATATCTGAAGAAAGGCTACCCCTACTTTATGTAGCCTACCACTGGGCGCGGGGGGGGCGGGGGGCGCGGGGGGGGGGGGGCGGGGGGGGGGGTCCCCCCCCCCCCCCCCCCCCCCCCCCCCCCCCCACCCCCCCAAAAAACCCCCCCCCCCACCTATACCGTAATATCCCACTTTACGACCACAAAAAGATAAGATAGGACGAAATAAAAAGAGTTGGAGGAGCAGCCATAAAGCTGCCGCCAACTTATTGCTAGACAGTAAAACAAAAAAAACATTAATACTGCCGCTTACTCAAGCGCATAATGTTTCGAATGGGATGTAATTTCCTCACAGGAACAGCTGTTTAGGAAGGGTTCTACTACCTCCAAGGCAACATGTCTGATTAGGAGGGTTCTTACTATATAATAAATTGAAGCACTAGAGCATGTACCGTTGCGGTTATGTTCAAGTATGAAAAAGATTGTTTGCGCATACGAGTTCTCGACCCAAGTGGGTAGAAATGCCTTCAGACATACCCTAGAAAGACCCCGGGACTTGAAAGCCACAAAACCTCTTTTCTTGCCTCCATAATCTTTTACCTGTAAGGCCACCATCATGAAAACTCTCTAAACGTAGATTTTTTCGGTTGCAGAAATGCACCCACATGTGTGATCATGGTTGCCCACAGTCATCGCAGACTCCTCTCCCACTGGGAATTCCCATATCATGACTCTTTACACGTCTTTTGCACCTTCCGATGCTTTGGCAACGGGAATGTTATGGTAGGACCACGCGACGCCGCACACGACAAACTGCAAATACCGTATGGTTATTATCGGCGCGCGCTCGCGCTGGTTCCGTTGCTATTTTTTTCAACAGGACAGTCCGTCGTAGCTCAACAATAAGTACAGTCCCCTGAGAGTATGCTATTCAGTAAGCACTGTGACATTCAATCGGTTAGGGATCAGTAGGTAAGCTAAATTAAAGACACTCCCCGCGATCAAGTGGTCCTCAAAATGACTTCGTGCTTTTTGGAACCCTCTACGCCTTGACGAAGATGATACCACTTTCATCCCTCAATATGGCGCGATAAGGAAGTTATAGCGATTTCCACAAGGCTCGCTAGGCTCGCTGACACGGTAGGTGGACGAGGCGTCCGGTCCCGAGCTGCTTCCGTCCCTTTAAAGTATCCTATTTCGAAAGTCGGGACGCAATTGCGGCTGCCGCATCGATTTCTGGCAGCCACGTCCGGCACACTCGTCCAGGCCCCGCCCCCACTGCTAAAGGGAGGGTCTGTGTTCAGGGTATTCGCGAGGTTTTTTAACGATTTTCTTCCACTGGGGGGTTACAAATGGGCCACTGCTTGTCGACTGAGCACCAATTACCCGAACACTTGATCCGCGGAATTGTCTTTAAGTCGCCACCGGAATCTGCGCAGGTTTCTCTGCACCATATTTGCTATAAAATCATCCTTGTTATGCAAATAAAAAAATCTGATGGCGCAACACAATCTAAATCAACTTATGGCGAGAGTGCGCTCCATTGAAAGCACGCGGTGTTCACACTTTACCGCGCACGCGACGTCGCGTGGCCCTGAAGACCGTCTCCCTTGAGCAACAGCTAACCTCAATCTATCTCCGTTACAGCGCATCGCGTAAGACCACCGGACACGCAGCCAGGTTTGGGGATAATGGGGCTAGAAAGTAGGCTTCCAGTCAGAAATAGTAGTGGGATAAGCTGATAAACTCTATGCCGCATTTACATAACGTTTTAAAATCTACACTCTAGTTCTCTGCGGACGGTTGGGCGTGTCAGCCAGTATGAGTGTGTCACCCTATCAAAGCCGTTCTCTGCCTTCTTGTTGAAGAGCGCATGCGACAAAAAGTGGTAGAAAACGAGTAATACGAAGGATATGATACAGTATTGTCACTTGCCCGCTTCAACAACTGGTGTAGAACGAGTTTGGCACCGCGCCAAACGCAGCCGCACTGACACGCCCAACCGTCCGCAGCGAACTACACAGTAGCTAAAAGTAGTTGCGTTTGCACTACATTGAAGTCACGGGAACTGTGGTGGAGGTGCGAATCTCGCTCTCTACTATAACAGCAAAAGTCAAGATTCTGGTGAACACCGTCAAACAGTAGCGGCAAAGAAGATGCCTAGGATCCTTAGTTTATTCGACGCCCTAGGGACAAGAGATTCTGGCAAGATATAGCGCCGCTAACTTCTCCATTAAAAAGAAAAGAATTGTGAAAAGGTACCTTATGAGCGTGCTCACTGGAACGACCATGTAGCTGTTTGTGTTGAGCATCTGTGAGAAGAGATCGAATCGCTACGGTGAGATTTTCCGTCTCACGTATGAGATTGTCAGGAAATACTGTAAAAACAAAAAAAATATGCCACTGCGAGAAATCGTTATTTATTTATTTATGCTAGCACGCAAGTGCATGAAAGGAAGTAATAAAAACGTATATACGTGTATCTCCGCATCATTTCCTTAGTTTTTTAGTAATCAGCAGCAGAAATTCCCAGTAACTTCATCAATTAGAACTATGTTCTACAA